ATAATTTAAAATCGTAATTTTTAAGTTATCATCTATCATTGAAACATAGATTACCTCTAAAGTCGAGTACTACAGTACTTTCGCGTACTTAATAATGAAGAGAATAGTTTTATAATCGGTAATCAGTAGGTGGATAAATCTAGGTGTAACGGGATCGAGAGCCGACGAAAGTCATCTGCTTTTCGATTGAGCACCTCAACTTTAACAGCATACGAACAAAAGAGATTAGATTCTCAGAACCACGCCCTCACTATCCCCATTGCGACTCCTAGTCGTTTGTGGATATATGCATCAAACGATTACAGATTTGTTTGTGAAATGGTCTTTATGTTACATAAAATTCCAATAAAATTGATATAAATGCATGTGAGAGTTCAGACAATGAAAGGAGGTCAAAATATCCATGACGATTTCAGTAAACAATAAGCAATTGAGCCGTCTTATATTAAGATAAATAATTGTTTTGCTTTATAAATAGCAATATTTAAGACGAATTTATAAAATGATTACTATCTATTGTAACCAAATTTGTCATTTGTGTAATTTAATAAATGACACAGAAATTTTGACACTTATGATCGTTGGATTTTTACGAGAACTTTCTTATTATTTTATTATTTTGTCACGGATTTTGGGTTATGAATATAATTTAAATAAATTGGAATATTTATCGCTATTTTTCATTTTAATTGGATAATTATAGTGCCCGTATAAATAATTAGAGAAAATAATAAATGACGTAAGATTTTCCAATTTACATTTAAATTTCAATATAAATTTTCATACAGATCAAAAAAAAAAAAAAAAAAAGAAAAAAAAAACAAATAATTTCCATACAGTAAGCCGTTGCTATTCACATCTGCAAAATGCAAACACTTCCTTATATTTTATTTAACATTAAACTTTCGTATGATCCTATTGAGCTATAGTGGGAAAGCAATTTTCTTAAACGACGACCGTCACGAAAGACAAAGGTAGAGCTTTAATTCGCTTAATATATTATTGAATTAATAGTAGCAATGAAATTGAGATATCGAGAGTGATTTTGGATAGGAAAATGAATAGTCCGCTTGTACGTTGTCTGTCAATTTCCAACAGTGTGTACTCGAATGAAAGGAAACGCCCTCTTATTGCACCGTTGGAGATACAGAAAGGCCGGAAGTTTTCCACACCCCCGCTCTCGCACTTTTTGCGTTAGATTACAGGACACGCGATTGTTTTCGTCGTCGTGTTCGATTCCGGAAACCATTAATTACATAATCAACCATTTTTAAGAAACATTTACATTCACAGTTTCCAGCTTTGTTCCACATTTTATAAGGCAATATAGTTGTAAAAAAGGCCGATAAATAGATAATAATGGTTATTTAATTGAGTGAAAAACCCATTGTGCTTAGGATACGAAGCATTCGAAAGGTTCGTTAAAGTTGTATGCTTGGAGCAAATTATTCTCAAATAGCGAAAACATAAATCCTTGGATCAATTAGTGTGAATATTATAAAATATGCTGGGTCAAATGAAAAAGGTTAGATAAAGGCAATGATATTACGGCATAAGGTAATTTCCAGTCAATTAATAACGGCAGGTTAGTCAGGTTAGTCTTTGGACGTAAAATAAATATTCGATTGGAGGGAGCAATTTTCAAATATTATTCATCGTATGGGCTGCTTGCAATGTCTCACTAGTCTAAAAGGCTTTATTGCAGAGGTAAATCAGCAGTTAATTTCGCATTAATAGTACACGGCAATTACATCCGGAGCCCAAGAACAGTATGTACCTTTCGCAATTGAATTATGCACACGCGGTTCCGAGCGATGACCATTGAAAAGGCCGAACACCTAAGCAACTCTTCCAACTTACAAAAATAAAACAAGGCTGAAACGCAACACCGCGCGACAAGCCATTATTCGCACACGCGCGCACGCACAAGCACACAGAAACGCAAACAGCCAAGAAGAATAACGGGCCTCTGTAAAAGGAACTCGCGAGGGTCTAATCTCTCCGAGCCATGCGACTCTCCATTTTTTTCCCCGGCGATCTGGGTGAGGGCCGCACGATAATCGAGAGCTCGAGATAAGCCCGAGGATAAACACAAGCTAATTGCCCACGAGGTCGGCCGTCGTTTTTGACGGCTGGCCGCGTGAGAAGGCACTTGGATTACGGAAGTGTGCGATTATGAGCGCCCGGGGCTCGGTACCCTCCCCTCGCCGTGCCCTCCCCGCGAAATCCGCGTGCCAATCGAAAGTCAAGCGCGACATCCCTGCCATTATTAGCGAGCTTTTAATTGCCGGTATTTCGGCGCGCGGCATTAATTATCGCCTGAGGAAATCGCCGATCGCCGGGGTGGTAAGAGATGTTCCTCGTTTTAACGACTCGAGGTATACTTGGAATTTTCAAATGCTTTTGCTGTCCGCGAGCTCTTAGATATTCTTGAAATTTCACCTCCACCGGCTGAAATGCAATTTTATTTT